TGTTACAATTGAACTTGGTTTGGACATTTACAACTTTGTAATTACCACCAATCTTTTCTGCTGACCTGATGGAATCCAATCTGCACCAAACAAAGTACTAGACACATTACACCAGCTGCTGTCCAATCAAAGTATCCAATGCAGTCAGTCATAGAGAAGGTGAGTCACTAGCCTAAACACCTCATTGGTAACATCGCTGATTATGACGCTTACTGGATGACGCGGGTTCGAACCCCAGACGGAGAACATGAGTTCCTTCAAGACTGAAGATGCGCATTCGCCTTGTTGACTGGTAAGTGCCAACTTGCAAAAAAACCTAGGTAAGGTGGGGCTTCCTGTCTACTGACTGACTCCAACCATCTAATATCTCAAGACCTATATATACATGGATAATGGTTCGATCATTTTCACATCCCCCTTTCGATCTAACCCTTATTATTTGTCCTTACTTTTGGCTGCTCAATATTTCTAATGCTTCTGTCTGGTGCTGTGTGGTGTTGATAAAATAGATTGTTTAACAATTGCAGCCATGTTTAGATGAAGTCAGAGTCACCCTGAGGAGTTACTGTTTGACCTTGTGCTAATGACAGAAGACAAGGGCCAGGAAACAGATCCTTTATTGAGAAAATCAACAGATATTTATAGATTTTTACGTACATTATTATTCGTTATTGTTAGCAGAGAAGCAACATCTCCTGATTGGTTGTTTTCCTGCTGAAGGTTACTCTGTCATCTCTTTGTTACCGTTTCTTAGACAGTCCATTGATATTTGAAAATTCCCATTCATTCATAGAAAAGAAAAGGCGTTCAGCAAAGAGTTACTCTTTTCGGCGATATCATTCTCAAGCTGTACAAACCGTAAATTTATAGTAATTTTTCTTGGCAACAAAAGGAATATTTCCAGAGATGTGTTAATGCAATTGTTGATTTTTTTTGACCACAAATTACGTAATTTAGAAGGCGTTAATCGGTTAGAAACTAAAATAAAGTTACAAAAGTACGTTGGGTGAGGTAATCTAATTGATAGGGTTCAATGAAAAATGAATGAGAGTTAAGTTAATAAGCTGAGTAGAATTCACTTTAAAATAAACGAGTTAGCAACTGTCGTCATGAGGATAGAGATTTAATAGAGGGTGGGGGTAGAAAATAATGCAGTTAAGAAACAGACAAACAAAGAAGAAAGAGGTAAGACAAAATTCCGTATTTGGTGTTAAGATAGATCAGGACCATTGTAGATTTATTGACTGAACAAACTTCTTTTGTATGCAGAGTTCAGGATTCAATATGTGAATTGCCATTGCTTCTGCAGTTTGAAGAAGTTTAATTCGTACTCTTTTAGCAGGAATCCCACGTATTGTGTAGATAACTGAGAAGTTGTTTTGTGGGTTTGCTTGGTGTCCGGATTCGATCAAGTGTTCTAGGATAGAGCTGTGGCGGGGGGATCTTCTTTCTCCTTTATAAAACCATGAAGGTAGGTGTTCGCTGATTTTATTTTTACTGCCATTAAATGCGTCTTCTCAGGACATAAGCACTTAGATGGGACAGAGCATTTGTCATACTTACAAATGCTGACCGTTAACTGGTTAACTGTGGTTTGGATAGCCTGTGTGTTATTGCACAGTAAGATGATACTCCCTGTCGAATAGTTTTTCTTCAGACGGTAGATTTATACCATCACAACTACCGCACACATCCTTCAGAGCTGTCTCTAGAATACCACAATGATAAAATTAGGGAAGAATGCCGAAAGCCAACATCTCTGTTTAAACCCACTTTTGGTTGATAACGGTGATGAGAACGGTGGTATTATGCTCCTATTCCCACGAGATTACTATCAACATCCTTGAATAGACCCAAAAGTAGATTATCTGTGCCCAGTGTCTCAGGCATTTAAAGCGCACTGAGAGTATCACTTACCATTAGGAACACTTATTCGTTGCCTACACTGTGTACATCTAAATATATATCCGTCAATGACCTGGGTACAAGGCTGCAGGTTCATAGAAGCACCAGAACTACATATCCTAGTACGTCCTGTTAATCCATAATCTAGACAGTACTGAAATACGTGATCTGGGTGAAATTTGCATCTGAGCAGATAAACAGCGTTCATTTTCGCGTTAGAATAATGGTAAGTTTCCTCAAACAACGACTAGCAAGCGTTCAAGGTCATTTGAGCGTTCGCACTCCTGAGACTCTATTCTTGAACTTCACCGCCCCGAGGATACCTAGTTGACAGTATAGAGGATTCCAGCCGCTGCATTCAGGATTCAAATCTCCCCACCCCCTACTTATTTCAGCCTAAGTATATGAATAGTATCGTCAGTCTTAATATATTAGCTGTCACTACTGGATAAATGAGCTCTAATCATTCAGTTTTAGAGGATCTATCATAGTTAGACTGCATAAAAATAAGACGTAAGACAGGACTTACTTCACATAACCAGTCCAAATATTCTTCAATGGACATATCTAAAACACGCATTCGTATAAAATCAATAGCTACAGTAGTAGCTGGCAGGAGAATTTCCCATAGGGTGAGAGACTGAAGAACACGTGTGAATGATAACACAGTGAATTGACTCGGTGATAACTGTATTGGAAAGATCAAATAAAAGAAATACACACAAATACACGGGGTTATGTAATGTTATCTGTCAGCAGTTGTGTGACAATTACTAACCGCCGAGAATTTTATAGGATTATATTATTTCTCGTACAAAAAACGATTTTATTATCAAACACCTTAGTGTCAAGCTGTTACATTTGATGATACTGCCTTGGACCAGATGAAGATTCTGTAACCTGTAGCTTTCACAGAGAGATATATTTAATGCTCCCTGTGAGGTTTCAAATGCCTGACAGATAGACAAGAGGCAGTGCAGCAGTTTCATGCCATGACTCTGAAATCAGGTAATGGTGACAAACCTACTTTAGCAGACAATTTCAGCGCTTGAGGAAGTACCTGAGGCTCAGTTACCGTCGTTACAGTTTATCGGAAATGTTTCAGATGCTAAATTCCATCCACTACAACTGGCTAACGTGGCACAACTACTGGGTACTGGAGAGTTAGAGAAGATAACCAGACAGATGTTAAGCACAACCGTAGCTACAACACAGTCAACAAAATGAAGCACTGGGAACAAAAAATTGAAAATTTGAAGCAGAGAGTAGCAGTAGTGAAAATGAGCGTTAGAGAATATGACTGTTCTTCATATGGCTAAACTGGGACACTGGAGCAAGTACTCCCACGAGAGACAACCGATTTCATTTTTGACAATACAATGTAAGTTATTTCTGTTTAGCTAGACAGGAGTTCACTTAAACAGAACTAAATTTTGAAAGTCAGGCTCATACATAGTAAGACATCAGTTCAAGTGTATGTTCAATTATCGACAGTTTTGAAATGGATGCACAAATTCAGTTCGAAAGTTTCTACACTAAAACGGAAGGCCTAACACCCTTATCAACTGAAGATGTTGAAAGACTTAAATCAACACTGGTCGATTGTTGCTATTATTACATGAATAGTAAACGTGATTCGGATAGTACTTTGACCAAAATACATAGAGAAGGTCTGGATGTTCTCTGTAAAAATGATAACATAATAATAACAAGATCGGATAAAGGCTCAGGAGTGGTTATCATGAACAAAGCCGATTACTTTGAGAAGGTGAATACTATTCTTAGTGATAATCTGAAATTCCAAAAAATCTCCTTTTCTCTGGATCCGATTGAAAAGATAGAGAGACGGTTAGCGGAAACATTGAGGAAACTGAAACAACAAGACTTTAACTCACACAGTAAGTATACATCACTGAAGCCCACTGGAACGTTTACAACAAGATTATATGGCTCGCCTAAATTGCACAAAAATGATGTACCTCTTCGACCAGTATTAGATATGTTAAATTCACCATAACATCCCGTAGCCAAATAGTTAGTCGAACTCTTACAGCCTCTACATACCGAGTTGGTGAAACACAGTGTAAAGTATACTTTTGGATATGCTGAAATGATAAAAGATTTAAATGTTGACAATAAATTCATGTCATCATTTGACGTATCTTCCTTATTGATCAGTGTGTACCAATTATGAAAACAGTAGACATTTTTTGCGAAGAACTCATAAGACGGAACATCGATGTTGGCATTCCTATATCTTTTATAAAAGAGCTTCTCTTGAAATGCACAATGAATGTTCACTTTTTATTTAATAAGGAACTATATAGACAAATCGATGGTGTAGCAATGGGGTCACCACTAGGACCCATTCTAGCCGACATTTTCCTTGCGAAACTAGAAAATGGGCCTTTGAAGGATGTTATTAATGAACTCGAATTCTATTGTCGGTACATGGATGATACATTTTTGATTATGAAAAATGAAGAGGAAGCAAAGAACATCCTGGACAAATTTAATGATTGTCGACCTGCAATAAATTTTGTTACTGAGAGAAAGAAAAAGACTCTAGTATTTCATTTCTAGACGGCCTTATGACCAGAAAAGAGGATGGCACAATAAGAAGAAGTGAATGTAGATAACCTACATCAACGGGTCAGTATACTCATTTTTTCAGCTTCGTGCCCTTGAGATAAAAAAGCAATCTGATAAAGTGCTTGGTTCACAAGGTAAGAGCAATTTGCTCGGATAAATGTTTCGATGAGGAACTTAATAATATAAAACGGTTGCTAAGTGAAAGTGGTTGTCCAGAAAAGTTTATTGATAAGAATATGAATCAAAAATCAAGGCAGCCCAAGGTACCAACAGTTCCAAAAAAGGCCTTATTCTTAAAAATCCAGTTCCTTGGGAGCTACATCAGAGAGATACTAACACAGCGCCTTAGAAGTGCAGTAAAAAGAACATTCCCTGATGCTGAATTACACTGTATCTTTAAAACCACTCTTCTTTTACCGTCGGGAGTGAAAGATAAACTGCTTAATTTCGCCTCTTCTATGTGTACCTGCCAATTTAACTGCTCCTGTGGGGCCAGTTAGCTGCTTAGGCCGAACAATTAGGCATGTTTCTCGTCGAATTTCCGGACATCACCCTGTGTTGTTGGCTAAGTAAAGGACAAACAAAATCAATTCGCAGCCATATTCTATCTCACTCATCTTGTGGATACAGAACAGAACACAAGATTGATGTCAACGAGGCGACTTTCAAAGTCATTTACAGCATACCAATAGATCTCAATTTCTCCTTAAGAGTTCGACTACTAAATATTGCTGAGGCTGGCTGTTGGGATCCATATTAACAAGCCTAATTTGTACATCCAAAAGAAGTTAGTTCGGACATTATCCTTACCCCAGTGACCATCTAGGTTCGAATGATGCTGAATTTTTGTAGAAATTTCCTTAATTTCAGTTGATATTCTATTTGCTAATGTATCTTTATTATTATAATAATTTAAGCATGTTTAATAAAATGTAATTCCATTGTGATCTTACTTAACGAATCGAAATTATTTAAAAAACACTAATATTGTTATTGACTACTATTCTAGAATATTCTATGTATATAAACATATGCATATATAATTGTAGAGCAAGAAGAGGAATTTATCGAAAAGGATGTTCTTCTTTGCTCAATTCTTTTGTATTTTATAGATGTCTGTTTATTTAACAGTATATTAAAATTGGAAATACAAACTGACGACTTGTACGCTCAACGAATGCGTGGGTGACTGTTGATTTCCAGATAGGAAAGTTGCTTCCTTCCTGGAATACTTGGAAAAGAAGTATTTGCGTTGCATGGCTGCAGAGCCCATGAGACAAATACTTGAAGCCAGTCACACATACAGACTGTCTGAATTGATTTTCGAAGTTGTGTCCAAATGAAGATCTTACTATTGGCTACGAACAGCTGTAAAGTAAGTCTGAGTCAGATTTTTCTAACCTTACCCCAGCATCTCAGAGACCAAAAGCAGCAAAGCTGGCTAGTTGGCCGTCTTAGGGAAAAACATCATTGCTTTCACACCTCTAGTCGCCCTCAAACTCACCCCTCCCCAAACACACACCCAACATAGTACAGACGACTTATTCTACGATGATAATTGCTTCCAATCTAACTGTTACCAGAAAGACTTTTCTATCATAGTAGGACCTATGAGAACAATCGTTCCAGCAAACACAGCTGGTTGAGTTCATGTGATATACAAGCCTGACCATGATGGAAGGAGTGCAGCTATCGATCGGGAATAATAATAACAATAGTAATAGTAACAATAAAAGGTTGAAGTTACTCACCTGAGCATAAATTTTAAGTTTTGACAGAACATACTTAATTTTGTGTTCATTTAATAATTCTGCCAAATCGATTAACAAATCCACATACCTAAAATTAAAAAAAAACAAAACAGAGCGGGAAACAATTAGACAAACAGAAAGAAATGAGGTAAGTATAAAAATTATCTGCACTTTGATATTTCGGGATAGGGTCACTGGTTCCATGCCGAAGCTCCCTTCTCTCTCTCGCCCACTCCGAAGTCAATATTGGCTAGTTAATTAGTCTTCGGGAAATGGAGGAAATTGTGTCGACAGGAGTTCCAAACCTGTAAGCAATCGTGGGGATAATAATAGAGAATTGCAGATATCAGAGTGAAATGGATATGTGCTGCGGAAGTCCTCTATTTCCTTTGGAACCCAAGGGAATATTAATAATAATAACAATAAGTACATAATAGAAAATCGATTAGTTACAGGATTTCATGATGAGCTGACATCGGTCAGAGAACCAATCAATAAAATCCCTACAAACCAACAGTTACAACTGGCCCAATTCAGGTATGTAGTCACTTTGGTTACAGTGGGAAGTCGTGACCAGTAGGGTGCATCAGGTCGCGTGTGAGGACAAATACTCTCCGAAGACATTGTTTAGCGGTCGCGCTATGTTGTGAACTGACAGAAGTTAGAATTCATGGACTGGCCATTGGATTGGAACCCAGTGGCTTGTTGGTCTACGAGCTCGCCTTGTAACCAGAAGGTCAGGGGTTGGAACCCTGCAGTTCGTATGCATACTGATAAAGAGTCCCAAACTATGCTGACGAAACAGCTGGCTGTCCAGTACTTCCAGCATATTTTCCAATGGTTCTCCAACCGATGTCACCTCACGATGAAATCCTGTAACCAATTAGTCAAATCCCTTCAAACATATACCAGAATATCAATTATTTTATTTTTTATTTATTTTTTATTTTTGATTACAGCTTGATTCCACACCGTATTTTTTGGTACAAGTATGGAATTTTCAGCATGTGATATCGGTAGCCCAAATTTCGCAGGCCGACCATAGATATCGGGTGTGCGTCGGCAGAGGATCGAACCCCGGACCATGTGCATAGTCGGCGAGAGTCCTAACCACTGTGCCACCGACGCACAGTGGTTAATGCTGGTGAGCTGTATTTGATATTTTCCACGTGACCGACTGTAATTCCTCAGCTGAAAGAAGAAATACACGGGCTAATCATCTCTTCTTGTATCCGTCGATTCAGATGCTCACCTGTGGAGCTATTTATACTGGCCATCGCCCTAGGAACTTAATTTTTCATGCTCTGGAATACCTATCGGTAGAGTTAAATAAGAATGTAGCAAAGTTAATAAAAAACAGCTGGATATTATGCCATCTAGTCCAAAAAGGATACAATGAATAATCCTTTACTATCATCTGTTGGGTATCAAATAAATCGCCAGAAGCCAATAGGTACCGATTCCTTCAAACAACAGAAGCCATTGCAATTCGCCTGAAACAACGGGAGTTGTGTGTGTGTGCAAAAGAAGCAGGTTCGGTGAATACTGTTACCCAGGCATGCTGTGACATGCATAAATTCATAAACTCTCAATTATTATCTTTCTTCATTTATCCAATATTGATGCATATTAAAACTTACGGAAACTACTTCAACCCTATGGCGTGCAGTCCCCAAGTCTTTATCAACCTCATTCAAAAGTTGGCTATATGACAGTACCACGTGTCAGGTGATCCACAACGGGAAATTCGGTGAGGTACTCGAAGTGCATACAGGAGTAATACAAGTTGGCTGGCTGCCTATTATCATCTATTATGATATTCTTAATTGTGGTGGACTGGATTATGCGTCAGACTGTGCGTTGGGAGCGAGGAGACAGGAATACGCTGGACCACCGATAAGAAGACTCTAGAAGATCTGGATTTCGCAGATGATATATGTCTAATGTCACACAAACTCGAAGACTTACAGGCTGGCAAAAACCAAGAAGCTGGCTGAAGAAGCAGGCAGCAAAGACGACAAGACTCCATGTGAATATAAAGAAGGCGGAGGTGATGAAGGCAAGTAACCAACCACAGCAACAACAACCAGCACCAATCACCAACAGTGGGAGAGATTTAACAGAGGTTACTTCCTTCACTTATCTGACTAGGAAGCATCGTTTCAACCTTAGGCAGTCGGAACGAATGAAGATGTTAAAGTCAGTCAACCAGCCAGAATCGGAAAGGCAAGATACGCCTTCACCAACCTGAAAACAGTTTGGTAATCCTCTGCACTAACTCACCATAAGGAACAAGATTCGGATTTTCAACACACATGTGAAGTCACTCAATTCTTCTACACGGGTGAGAAACTTTGCCAGTGTGTCAAGAAAAGGATTTCCAACAGGTTGCAGACCTTCACCAACAGCCCACACTTCGCTAGCTGGCTTCATACTGAAGATGAAGGGACCAGCCGGCTGGCCAGAAAGAATTAGCAGCAAGAAGCTGTGAGAACGAACCAACAGGTGTGAGACAATCGCTCAACAAATATGTAAGCGAGAATGGAGATGGATTGATCGTACTTACTTTGAGGAGACCATCAAATGATATTGTGTACAGTGCAGTCCATCACTGGAGTGGAATCCAATTGGGAATCAACGAGTGTGTCGTTGGTGTAAGGGTGATATGGAGGAGATATCGTGGGGAAGAGATGAGAGATTCTGGGCAGTCATGGACCCAGATAAAGAGAATGGCAGGGAATAGAACAGAGTGGAGATGTGTTGTTGAAGCCCTATGTTCCACTCTGAACCCAAGGGAATAACATTAATCACTTACGTATGCTTTGAACAGTAGTCCGTTGATCTTGACGATTGGGCGTTATATATTTATTAATTATTATTATTGTCCCCTTGGGTTCCTAGTGGAATGGATGACTTCAGCAGCAAGTCTTTACTTTGTTCTATTCTCTGCAGCACCACTGCTCATAGTCCCTGCTCTCCTCCTCGCACTATCTCCTCTATGTCACCCTCGGACCATAGCTTAAGTCGTTATTTCCCATTCCAGTTCCGCTCTACTGATGGCCTGAGGCGCGATATCATTCGAAGGTCTCCCCAGCCTGTGTCTAATCCTTCCTCATTTTCTTCAGCATATTTGTTGAGCAATAAGTCCTTGGCTGGTTCATTCCCAGACCTTCAGGTTGCCAATTCTTTCTGGACATCTGATCTTTAGTATAGAGCCAGCGAAGGTAGGTGCTGATAAAAGTTTGTTGGAAATGCTTTACGCGACGCGCCATGCTTCTCATCCATATAGATGAACTGACTGACTTGACACTGGTGTTAAAAATTCAAATTTTATTGTTCATGCTGACTGGAGAAGATTTCCAAACTGATTTCAGTGTGCTGAAGGTGTTTCCTGCATGTATAGGACATTCGAGTGTTGGTTTACAGGGATTTGACTTGATTGGTTACAGGATTTCACCATGAGCTGAGATTGGTTATGGAACCATCGTAAAACTAGCTGGGAGTACTGGACAGCTGTTTCGCCCTTGTTTGGGACCCTTCGGTCGTACGCATCCATAGGGATTATAACTCAGGACCTTCCGGTTACAAGGCACAGTAGGTCGAGTGTGAGGATAAACACTCGCCACCGATGACATTTGCTAGTTCCAGTCGCACCATCCAGTGAACTGGCAGTAGCTGGAATTCATGGACCATTGGGCCAAGCCCCAGTGACTAAGTGGTCTACGAGCTCACTAGTCCTGTAACCAGAAGGTCCAGGGTTCGAACCCTGACGGTGAGTACGCACTGATGAACAATCCCAAACAAAGGCGAAACAGCTTTTCAGTACTCACAGTTGGTTTTCCAATGGTTCTGTAACCGATATCAGCTTGCAATGAAATCCGGTAAGTGTACAGAACACGCTGATAAGGCATTGAAAAACGCAAATTTCGGGAATATGACAGCTGATACGTGCACTTGATTAAGAAAACTAAGTGCGTGTGTGTTTGTGCATAACATTCCACAGTATACTTCGAGAAGTACAACGAAAAAGTGGGACATTGCTTTTAGATCTAACTGGAACTGAAATATTCACTAGCCTTACCGACTGTATGATAGCCACAGGAAGTTTGCTTTGATTTTCAAATTAAATTTCCCTTTCTAATGCTTGGTAAGCCACTTTATAAGAGTTTTTGACATTGTCACTTGGTTGGATCAACAGTAACAGAAAACGCTAATCCCTAAAATTAAGAGAAGTAGCCTCTTACGCTTAATGATGCATCACCCCTTCATTTACGGCTGGCACAAGTGACGAAGTTATAGTTAGTCATGATCGAAAAAGTAAGATAGGCGTTCATTACAGAGGTTTTGGTGTGGAGATTCACAGCACTTAGCTCATAGAATAACATCCAAATTTTGATTAACACTCATATGAAGTTAGTAATGTTTTTACACGCTCTAGAAACTTGACTTGCATGTCACCAAAAAGTATTTATAACACCTTGCTGTAAAATTTCATGGATACCTATCCTCTTCGATCGATATTGTAAATCACATGGTGACATGGAACTCTGACAGCAGTCCATCTGAAAAACTGTTGCCTACAAAATATGCGAAGAGGAATGAAGATGGACAATACAAACGTTAATGAAACATTCAAATGACATTATACATCAGTCAGGCCATTAAAGTCGAACCTGAACCTGAAGTGACGATTTGGGCCAGATTCCAGTGTTGACATGGAGGAGATCGTGTGAAGGTGAAGTGAAGGTGTTTGAGCAGTTGTGGATCTAGTTGAAAATGATAGCAGAAAACTGAATGTAGTCGAGATGTGTTCTTAAAGCCCAACGCTCCACTCAGAACCCAATCAACTATTATTATTACTGTTTTCTTTATTTCCTAGAGGAACATTGAGGATTCAGCCACACGTCTCCACTGCGTTCGGTTCTCTGACAACGTTTTCACCTGGCTCCGCGTCTGACCACATGCTTTCATCTCCTCTTCACATCACCTATTCCATGTCATCCTCGCACTGATGATCAACTCGCCACTTCCCATTCGGATTCCACTCGAGTACTGGCCCTATCTTGGGATGTCACTTGATGGTTTTCTCAGAGAATGGTCACAATCCAGTCCACCTCCATTTCTTCCTGACTCTTTGTTTCACAATCGGTTCCTGCTGGGTTGGGTTGGTTCGTTCACTGCCAGAGATCCCTGTAGCTGATCTTTTCTGGCGAACCATCTGATCTTGAGTAGCATTGATCGAAGACAGCTAGCTGTTGACGAAGGTCTGCAGTTTGTTTGAGGTGCTCTTTATGACACTCTAAGTCTCTGATCCATAAAGTAGCACTGATTTCGCATTGGAGTTCAAATTAACTAACAACAACAGCAATAACAATAATAATAATAACACAGTGAAGAGTAATTTCAAGCTTACTTACCAAGGTGCTAATTCTTTCTTCTCAGCAGTTTTACGAGCCAATTCACTAGCTGCTTTATCATAACGTGCCAGTTGATGCATACGTTTCATAGCAATGTGTGTATGACCTTTAATTGGGATATTCTGATATTTTGTTAAACATATTTCTGGTCGTATTCTATGAAAAAAGGAAAAGAAAACAGTACAAAACGAGGTGGGAAAAACAGGTGGAATAAACGCAAAACTGACTAAAATGACAGACAACAACAGTAAGGAACCAGGACTACTAACCAAGTTTGATTAAGACTTCTTAATTTCGAAATAGACTTCGTCAGAACCAAGGAAAACTGCACCTCTGTTTCGTCCTAGTGAGGAACTCTTCACAGTGCACACCCATAATCGCACTAGGGTTTTAACGTATGAGCTTCAGGTCAAGATTCCAGCCTTTTAAGACCATGAGTGCACACCGCTGAAGAGTCCTAAATTGGGGAGAATTGGCTGCTCACTTCTTCCAGGTTTTCAATGACTCACATACCCAAAAGTATGAAAATGTTTCTCATTCGATTTTGGCGTGAATCAACATAATCCCGCTAGGGTGTACTCACATAAATTCCCCATTCTTTTTATATAATCTCACTATTCTTTTATCATTTTATTTTGCTGATAATATTTTCCACATCTGCGATATTGCTGCCGCTTAATTCTTATTGCACATGTTAAGTGTACATTTGATGAAAGAAGATCCAGTGGTCGACGCCTCCCACCAAATGAATACATTGCTTTTTAGAACTGTCACTCTGTCTTATCCTGTTATGTGTTTGTATGTGGGATGTTTTTGTTGTCACTTGTTGCGCTTCCTGTTGTGAATTATTTTCCTTTTGTTGGTGTTGTCCTGATTGCTTTATTCCTTGTTTTCCTGATTTTAAGAGGAGCAACCCACAAGGTCGCTTCTCTGTAAACTATATTTTAATGTAACAACCCCCCCTCTCAGGCGTGAGGCTAGCAACTCCATCCTGTAAACAAAGTTTTTACAGAAACATCGGCACAGTGTATCTCCTTGAGCCAAAAGAAAAGTTTTTGTGGGGACATGGAACGTTCGCACCATGTACGAGATTGGTAAAGCTGCCCAGATTGCAAACGAGATGAAAAGATACGGAATTCAAGCACTGGGAATATGTGAAAGCAGATGGAACGGGGATGGACTGACCAAATTTTCAACAGGAGAGTCAGTGATCTATTCTGGTCACCCAGAAGACAACCACATGCACACCGAGGGCGTGGCTATCATGATGTCAACAGCGGGCAGCGAGGAAACAGACATAAAATGGACACACACAAAAACCTTGGAGGATCTAGACTTCGCCGATGATAATATGTTTGATTTCTCACAAACTGGAAGATATGCAAGTGAAAAGCAAAAAGTTGGCTGAAGAAGAATCAAAGGACTTCAGGTGAAAATAGAGAAAACAGAGGTGATGAAGATTCCTGGGCAACACCACCAACAGCAACAGCAACAAACAAAAATCAGCATAAGTGGGAGGAACCTGAAAGAAACAACCTCCTTCACCTACCTACCTGGGAAGCATCGTTTCAACTACAGGCAAATGGAACTGACGAGGATATCAAAGCGGCGAGGATAGGGAAAGCAAGACAAGCTTTCACAACTCTCAAGTCTGTTTGGAAATCAATAGCACTCAGCATGAAAAATAAGATCCCGATTTTCAAAATTAATGTGAAGTCAATGCTACTATACGGACCAGAGACTTGGCGCGTCAAAAGAGCATCTCAAACAAACTACACACCTTCATCAATAGCTAGCTGTCTTCGCTCAATACTCAAGATCACATGTCCAGAAAAGATCAGCAACATGGATCTCTGGGAGCGAACCAACCAGGAACCGATTGTAAAACAAATATGCAGGAAGAAATCGAGGTGGATTGACCAGACTCTGAGGAAAACATCAAGTGACATCACTAGACAAGCCATTGCTCGAGTGGAACCCGAAAGGGAAGCGGCGAATTGGTTGTCAGTGCAAGGGTGACAACATGGAGTAGGTGATGTGAAGAGGAGATGAAAATGTGTGGGCAGACTTAGAGCCAGGTGAAAACTTCAGCAGAGAACCGAAATGAATGGAGACTCGCAGCTGAAGCCCTGTGTTCCTCTAGGAATTAAAGGAAACAATAATATAATAATGTGTGATATATGCATTGCAATTGTTGAGTTTTTCTCTGAGTTGCTCACCTCTCTGCAGTCCATCACTCTATTCCCTGATTACCTGATGTATATATATTCATATATATCAGTTGATGACGTCGTGAAGACGGATCAATTGGACCCCTTCCTGAAACTGAACTAGACTGGATTAGAGTAAAAAGTAGCAGGACTAAAACATGGCACCAGTCTATGAAGTCTCTGAATGCTGAATAACGCCCCACTGAATGATGCTGATTGTCTGCTTGGGTTATCGAAATGTGATAAGGGCTGAAAACTATTGGTAAAATGACTCAAAATCATTCTCAGTAACATGCACTCATTCAGTCATTGTTATCTTCTAGAATCATTCCTCATCTAATTCTAGTCTGTACATTCCCTTTTCTTGACATTATGTGGGCTTTAAAAACTGCGATAAGTTCCATGGGTGTTGCCTCTGTGGAAATTCCTTCATTGGAAACTCATTTAGTACAAGGTAGACATAAAATGATCTCTTTCATTTCTGTTGAATGTACTTCGAAATTCACGAATTATCATAACCCAGATTTGGATTAAAATAGAAGAAGAAGAAGAAGAAACAGACGAGGGGAAAGGAGTCCCCATAATTCAAGGAAAAGCCTTTTCCATCTTCACAAGAAACAGTTCTTCTCACAATAATAAGAGAAGGAATAACATAAAATGACATTTGACAGTTTTCTGTGGTGTACTGGTAAGCTGAATAGAAGTCAAAGTTGAACTACATATAATTTTGGTAAGTAATCATCCTGGTTTCCACCGCTAGTCACCATCCACCAATTAACTTCTAATCATTGTAATATTAAGACATCAGTTCATGGAGTCAGTAAGCTAAAATGAGGTGTATCAGCGCGGTCACGGATCACTAATAGTGAATCACAAATTATTATTATCATTATTTTCTTTAATTCCTAGAGGAACATAGGGCTTCAGCTGCACGGCTCCATTGCGTTCGGTTCTCTGCTAAAGTTTTCACTTGGTTCCACGTTTGATCACATGCTTTCATCTCCTCTTCACATGACCTCCTCCAAGTCACCCTTGGACGACCAACTCACCGCTTCCCTTTCGGGTTACACACGAGCGATGATCTGGCGTGGGATGTCACTTGATGGTTTCCTCAGAGTATGGCCAATCCATCTCTATTTCTTCCTGCTTATTTGTTGCACAGTCGGTTCCTGGTCAGTTCGGTTGCCAGAGATCCATGTTGCTGATCTTGATTATTGAGCGAAGACAGCTGTTAATGAAGGTCTGTAGTTTGTTTGAGGTAATCTTTATGACGCGCCAAGTCTCTCATTCGTATAGTAGCACTGACTTTACATTGGAGTTGAAGATCCGGATCTTATTTTTGATGGTGAGTGCTGAGTGTTGGTCTCCACACAGACTTGAGAGAAATGAAAGCTTGCCTTGCTTTCCCGATCCTCGCTTTGATATCCTCATCAGTTTTGTCCGCCTGTAGTTGAAACGATGCTTCCCAGGTAGGAGGATGTTTCTTTCACGTTCCTTTCATTTATGCTGATTGTTGTCTGTTGTTGTGGTTGTTGTTAGTGTCGGCCAGGAATCTCCATCACCACTGTTTTCTCTATGTTCACCTGAAGTCCTATCTCTTGGATGTTTCTTCTGCCAACTTGTTGTTTTTCGCTTGCATATCTTCCAGTTTGTGGGAAATCAGATATATATCATCGGCGAAGTCCAGATCCTCCAAGTTTCTTGTGTGGGTCCACTTTATGCCTGTCCCCTCATCACCCGCTCTCAGTCTCATTATCCAGTTTACTGCGTTCAGGAAAATCATTGAAGACAGTAGGCAGCCAGTTTGTCTTACCCCTGTCTTTACTTCGAAGGGTTCCTTGAGTTTCCCGTTGTGGATTGCTTGACACTCACCATTATCGTACATTTGTTGGATGAGATGTATAATTGTTGGCGACACCCCGTAGTAGCAAAGTAGTTACCAAATCACCTCTCGATCAACGCTGCGCTATCGAAGGCCTTTTCAAAGTCGATGAAGTTGAGTGAGATAGAGAGTTGACCGACCGCAATTCCAGGCTCTGTTCAATGATGCTCCGTAGTGTGGCGGTTTTATCAATACATGACCTGTTTCTCTAACAAATATGAATCAATAATTTCAAATCATACCCTCTGGACAATCGGTGATTTTCATTACTCAGAAGTCTGTACGAAAGATATAAGATGTAGGCTCCGAAAATTGGGTAACAGCCCACAAACAGTGATCTTCTAGACTCTGTGATCATGTAACACTAATGTTGTTTCTTCACCTGATTCAGTAACTTAGGGGATAGGGTTTCAATTTTAGAAATGATTGATGAGAGGTTAGAGTATTAATGTGAACACCGCCAATAACAGGAGATACAGGTACATCAAACTGATGAACTCCAAATAGGACGAAATGCGCATCTCTTAGATTCCACTACTAATCTCTCCAAGTCCTGGGTTCGAACCCCGTTGGGTGAGAACTGCTGAAAAGTCACAAACTAGGACGAAACAGCTGTCCAGTACTCCCTGCAGGTTTTCCAATGCTTCTCTAACCAATGTCAGCTCATGATGAAATCCTGTAACCAATCAACCAAATCCCTACAAACCAATACTTTAATATCAATGAGATGCTCACTGTCGACTGGCCCTATTCAGGTAGGTAGTTACCTGGGGTTCTAGTGAGATGTCGTGACCAGTAGGGTTCAGCAGGTCGGGTTTGACGACGAATACTCGCCGAAGACATTGGCTGGCGGTCGCGCTGTGTCGTGAACTGGCAGAAGTTAGAATTCATGGACTAGCCGTTGGATTGGGTCCCAGTGGCTTAATGGTCTACGAGCTAGCTCACCAGCCTTGTAAGTGGACGGTCCTGGGTTCGAACCCCGTGGTGTGGGTGCGTACTGATGAAGAGTCCCAAACTAGGACGAAACAGCTGTCCATTACTCCCTGCAGGTTTTCCAATGGTCCTCTAACCAATGTCAGCTCATGATGAAATCCTGTAACCAAAAGTATATTACACACTAACCACAACTAAAAACAGAAACTAACAGCAACTGACTTACCTTTTCATAAATTCTAAACGATCTTCCAACTCAATACTCTTTTCATCAGTCATGATTGACAGCTGACTGCGTAGACTATCGATTAAATTGGTCAATTTATGACTTGTAAATTCTTTGGGTATTTCTTTTAAATTACCAGTAGTGAATGGTCTAGAATAAAAATAGATTATGGCGGTAAGTATGAATGATTTCAACATGTCATATAATAAAATAATAATGAGATGGTATATAATAGAACAAGATATATAAGCGAACAATATTGTTTTCAAATATTGGTTTGTAGGGATTCGGTTGATTGGTTACAGGATTTCATCATCAGCTGATTTTGGTCCTGGGTTCGAACCCCGGTGGGTGCATACCGATGAAGACTCCCAAATTAGGACGAAACAGCTGTCCAGTACTCCCAGGATTCCCGATGTTTCTCTAACCAATATCAGCTCATGATAAAATATTGTTTTCAATTAGATCTTCTTCAGGCTTTACTCTAATCCACGCATTAATGAGCATCTTCCTTCATGGTTCGGAAAAGGTCAAATAAAATCCATACGAAGTTCCATTTTGTCTCATTTGATTGAGAGAGGTCACAAAATGGACAAAAATAGGGCCTTCAAAGTTATCTATCGCATTCCATCGAGCCTTTCTAACGGAATCAGAACCCGTCTTTTACACTTAGCCGTAGCTATGGGAACTCTAGAGAACAATCCTAGTCTTTGTATACAAAAGAAGTTTGTTCTACCTTTGTCTCTCCTTTGCTTAGCCTAGGTGAATTCTATTCAAAACCCTCCCACCCTTCCTTATCTTCCATATCCTTCGTACTTTTATAATATTTATTTAAACTCTGATTATCTGTCTACTTCACCTTTTAAGATTTGACCTAATTTATTTATTTACTGAATTGTAACATATACACATATATACATATACTACCTTTCTTATTAAATAGCGGAACGTCGGTAGAAACAATATCGATTTGTTTTTCATTCATTGGGAAATACAAAAACCTTCATTATATTGAATACCTTTGTTATTCTTACCGCCACCTGCATAAACCTTATTATCAATATTTTGTTATCATTATCATCATCGTTATTAATGACGTTTAAAACATTTACCACATTATTATTATTATTATTATTATTTGATCCACAAAATCACCGTCATTGGTTAAATTGCTTTATATATAAATCTATGTAAATTAGAGTAAAGCCTGAAGAAGATCTAATTGAATAATAAAATATTGTTCGCTTATATGTCTTGTTCTAATATTACAAATGGGAATATTTAAAGATGGTATATATACTACTGACTGACTGATATAAGTAGTCGGATGCTAATCACATCAATCAGTAGTATGCATCATCATCAAACATGGCAATGAATGACAGTCAAACCTTTACCTCAGCTCCATCGACTATGAAAGAACTTTCGACAGAGTTGACGGCGCACTAATTCGGAAGCTACTTCAACACAATGGCGTGCTCCAAATGTTTATCGGCCTCATTCAGCAGTCATGACAATGATACATGTCAAGTTGTATCGACTGAAGACAAGGGCGAGGTAACGGATCCCTTATTGAGAAAATCAAGGCATATTTAAAGACTTTTATGTACATTATTGTCAGTGGAGAAGCAACGTCTTCTGATTGGTTGTTTTCTTCCCGAAGGTTATTCTGTACTGCTTGTGACCGTTTCTCTGACAGTTAAGCCATATATCTGCGAATGGTATTTGCACACGTTATGTCTGCTGTGATTGGTTGGTGATTTCCTCAGGG